ATGTAATCATTGTTTATTTTATGTTTATGGGACAGTGCACATAATAATGATGATAATCACTTTTATTGGCCAAGTATGTTACATACACAAGGAATTGGTTTCCGGTACAGAAACAAGGCAGCCATCCGCAGCGCCACTTCTCACACACACACACACACTGATGGCAGCCAGGTGCTGCTTAGCCATTGGGACGAACTTGGGGCTCAGTGTCTTGCCCAAAGACACTTCAATATATGGAATGGGGAAAACAGGAATGGAACTACTGATGATGATATTGATGGTAATCACTTTATTTGGCCAAGTACACTACACACAAGGAATTTGTTTCCGGTACAGAACTGAGGCAGCCATCTGTGGTGCCAACTCACACCAATGGTTCTAGCCACCGGGGGCAACTTGGGGGTTCAGTGGACTGCAAGCACCGTGATTTGAACTGTCAACCTTCTGTTTGGGAGATGACCGCTCTACCACAGGCACCCCAACAAAGAGAACTGGTAACGGGACTCCCCGTTGGGGAATCAAACCCCGGTCTTCTTCATGACAGGCGGGGACACTGACCATTATACTAATGAGGACTACTGACCTTCTAGTTGGGAGACGACCACTCTTCCTCCTGAGCCAGAGCCGCCCCACATTAGTCCCCACTCATGTTAGCAACATTGCTGCAAATGTCCCAAGTCATGTACACAAATGCGGTAATATTAGAGTGTGCTGGTCTTTAAGTATGCTGTGCTTTTGTAAGTACCCAATCTTTATTAAATCATTTAACCTTTTATTAAAATGATCTTCTTAGGTATCTGATTCTTTTTAAAGGTCTGGACAGGTTTCTTTGATTAAGCATCTATAAAAATATGACGTTATGTCATATGGGCCTGTACTTCTACAATAACTGCAAAAGTGTCATCTGCACAACAGTGGAAATAAGTACAGTGCTTAGAGATGACATACATACAGACTCACACACATGCTGAAATATAAGTTGTTCATGTGTTTGCCCCCCTACCTCTCATCTCCAGCAATTTCAATCAAATGGTGGGAACCTATGATGAGCTTCAGGGTTACCTGAAGGAATACGTGGAAGAGCTTTCCAGGAGTGATGTGAGAAGAAATGCTCTGTGAGTGCACAGTGACAGAAAAACACAACAAACATTCTGTATATATGTTAATCACACCTCCTTGCAAGGTGAGCATGTCATATCCTCATCGGGGCATTTTTAGTTTTTGTGGTGATAAACTGGATTGAAGTTTACTATACAGATGAGTCAGTCTAGAGCCCTTTTCATACACACACTGACACCCTAAACATAATGCAGAGGAGCTGTGAGAACACAAATGTCCAAGTTATTTGGTCAAAACATTAAGCAGATTTTACCCTTCCAGCTCCCTAGTACAAAGTCTACACACACGCACACAAACCAAAGTATTTCAGGTAGGTTAGAGTGCATCTGACACAGACTATCTCCTGTTGTGAGCTACATATGTGAAAGGGCAACTCTGGATATTGTCTGGACCTGATACTGCTGACAATGTCTGGAGCTCATATGTGAAAATGGCTTAGGCCTAATAGCAAGAAGGGCTCAAATGAAATCATACGTCCCCTTCTGTTCCTCACCCAGGCCCCACTCGCCTCAGATTGACTCTGCAGAGGCCCAGGAGCTGAGGAGGCTGAAAGAAAAGATTGCTCTCCTGCCTCCACATCAGCCTTTCCAGGAGCTTGAAGTTATAGCTACATTGGGCATGGGCGGATTCGGAAGAGTGGAGCTGGTGAGCTGCAGCAACACCCAACTATCCCCATCACCTGTCATGTGTCAGCTTGCCTTCAAAATCTGTCATCTGCAGAACTAGATTATGTTCACTTCTGATTTATATCTCGCTGAATCCTGACCTTGTTTTTTAAAGCTGACCCACCTAGTAATCCTATATGTGAAGTGCATCATGTCTTTGAGCAAAAATATTACAAATGTTGCAAAAAGGTAAAAACTAACTATACTGGTAAGTATCTGTACAAATAGGGATTCAATGGTACACAAAAATGACAGTTTGATATGCACCCTGGTTTTGAAGTCACGTTTTAATTAATTTCAGTACAGTAAGAGTAAAGAATATAAGTTGTAAAATAGCTTGTCATTTATTATGATCTTTTGTAAACATCAACAGTTTATAGATTTTTAAATTTTAATTTTAAATGAAACATAAAATAGCCTATATAAACATAAAATAGAATAAAAAATAAAATACTCCTGCAAAGTTCTTCTAAAAAGTGTTCCAAACAGTTAAATGTTTAAATGATAAAGGAAGCAACATTTGTACCACACTCGTTGCAGCAGTTATAGTCACATTCGTGTGGTGCTGTTTCAAGTGAGAGAGCAGGTTTGACATGTTCCCAAAAGCATATCCAGTCAGCTGTGAGCAAACCTATTAAGTGGTTCAATACAAATATGTGTACCCTTACACCTGTGCAAAGAAGTGGGTTGTGTCTGTGTTTGTGTTTGGGCCAGTGGATGTGACAGAGTAAAACACAAGCTAGAACCAAAATGAATGAACTGTGACCTAGAATCCATAATACCTAACACTTTGTGTTCTGGCAGAGAGAGACCAAAAACATTGGAGTACTCTTGAGTCATAAAAATGCTAAAAATATACAGTCATAGCCTTCTGTCTCTATCATAATTTCATATCCCAGTGATTCATAAGTATCTTGTAGTAACTATTCATAGGTTTTAGCAGAAATAACAAAAAAAAATATCAGCAAAGAATGTAAGCAAAGCAAAGAGCAAGCAAAAAGGCATCTGCACTGTAAGAGAACAGAATGCAAACATATACATAGAACATCACATAACAACTGGAGATTTTAATCTAAAGTTAAGGAACAGGGCACGCCCGAAGTACACACCCCTTCCTCCTCTTATTATATTTAAACCACCAAACAAGCCTTGCTTCCACTTTGCTCTTTGTAAGGTAGAACACACGCTTGGTGTACTCACCATGGATTGTTTCTCCCTTTCATCTTCGGGTGACGAGTTGTTTTACTCATTGTCTCAGGAGCCTCTTTGCTTCAGTATTTTCAGGACCAACACTGTCGAATCCATTCAGCCTTCCAAGTCTGTTCCACAGGTCACTGGGCACCCACTGCAATCTGCCGCCATGGCTGTCTCAACTCTGTTAGCGCTTCTCCAGTCCTATCAGGATGCATCTGACTACCAACAACTTCACTTGGCCCTCTGGGGCTCTCCCTGCACTCCCACTCGTCCTTGTCACCAAAGCAGTCCTCATCGCAGTTGCTCTAGCTGAGGCTTTCCTCTTCCTGCCAGTCTGCACCACGGCCTCCACCATAAGGCCCCTGGATGTCCTAACCATCACTTCCCTAGCAACTCACCTCAGCCTCGTTCACATCCTCATTGTTTGTCCAATGCCACCTCTCAGAAGCTTATTTGCGACTGGACCATTGTGGGCCTTCAAAGGGAGCTGAGGGAATGGCAAATCCCATTTTCTTTTACTGATACTAATGCAACACTTTTCTGCTTTATTTTGTCACCTCTCCACCATTGTTGTGCTGCCCGGAAGGCGCCTGGGGCTGCGTCATCCTCTTCTCATATACAGGTTGACATAGCTCCACTCGCTTTAACCATTCAACTTCCACCTGCCCCCTCAACTGCCACAGCGTTCACTGGGGCTCTTCTCCTTTCATCCTCTGCCCTCTCTTCTGTCTCCTGCTCTTCTCATTCACTGAGCACAGGGCTGCTCACAGTCTGCATCGCTTTTTCCCTCGCATGCCTGATAATGTCCTTCTTTTTTTGTCTCCTGATGATGTACTAGTAGCCTCCTCCATATACATATGGATAGTGAGATATAATAGGCTTACATAGGAATGACAAGTTGCCTTGTAAATTACATTAGTTCTCTCACATCTTGGTAACAGGCTGTGTTTATTCCAATCAATGTCAACTGGAGACCATCAGGACATGAGGCCAAGAGGTGCAGTAGATTTATTATTTTCACTGAAAGGCTGTTTTTGTTCATTATGTTTTGACTGTAACCACTATGTTACTGGGACATTTTGCATCAACAGAGTAGAAAGGTACTACTATAAAACAAAAGTTAAAAATTCTATTGTGTGACGCCTTCCTGGCATTTGGTGCCCTAGATGACCACCTATCTCACCTAGAACATAGTTCAGCCCTGTGCTGTAAAGTAGATTTGTGCAGGAACCGCATATGAATGGAATAAATGACAGCGTTAAGTACAGCAATAGTGTTTGTCAACAATTTTTAGATTTAGTATTTGTCTTACCCTGAGATTAAAATGTTAATTTGTTAGTTTGTGACATTTGGTTAACCTCATTCCCTTTAATTCTAGTCAGTTTTTACTCAAAGCACTTTAGTCTTGTCTTTGTCTTGTGATTCATTTAAGAAATATATCCAGACATAAAAAGAATTATTTCTCCAAATGTCACGAGTTTACATTACATGCCTCCATGACATAGCCATATGTCAGGGAGGCAAAGCTTTCACCTTCTCCCACCCACCTTGTCTTTTCTATGTTTCCATTCTCAAAATAGGAGGCAGGTATGTCAGCCTCAATCATGCACTCTCTCATGTGTTTGTTGTTTTTTTCCTAATTTTCTTCCGTAACGTCTTCTGCAACCCATTCTGGATTACCTTTACCAGAGAAGAGAGACTAAACATCAGACAGCTCACTCTGAACACCTTTTCTCCTATTTTTGCTAATGCAAAAAAATATGTGGACATTCTAGTCAGAGGGGCAGCGGCCCTCTATGGGACTTGGAGAAAACATTGTCAAGGGACCTGGTTAAATTACGACAGAGAGGGCCCGAGACGCCATTCCCGTCTATCCATCTAGTGAATCTCTGCTCTCTAGCCAACAAAATGGATGACCTCTGTCTCATCAACTGGCCTACCTTTGACTTCTCACGCTCTGCTGCTCTTTGCTTCACAGTGACTTGGCTCAGTGACTCCATCTCGGACAGTGCACTACAAATACTGGGGTTCCAGGTGTACAGAGCAGATCACATAACAGTTATCTGAGAAAACGAGTGACGGCAGAATCTGCTTCAACATAAATGAAGGTTAGTGTAAAGATGTCAGTGTTAGAAAGAACTTGCAACATGGACTTAGAGACTCTTCATCAACTGGAAAGCATTTTATACTATCAAAGAATTTTCATCATTCATTCTGGTCAGAGTGTATATAAGACTACAGGCCCTCACTAGCACACTTTAGCACCTGACCAGCCAACTAGTGTGGAATTGAAACATCTTGACTCCCCCCTCATTGTTCTAGGGGATTTTAACAAAGCAAACCTCACCCAACTGCCCAGCGCGTCAGTTGTCCACCAGAGACAAAAACACATTGGACCACTGCTACATGGTAATAAAAGACGCCTATTGCTCTGTCCCCCATTCAGCCCTGGGTCTCTCTGGTCATTGCATGGTCCATCTCATCCCAACATATAGGCAGAAACTTAAAGCTGTGAAGCCTGTGGTCAAAACAGTGAAGCGATGGACTGAGGAGGCTAAGTCAGAGCTACAGGCCTGCTCTGACTGCACAGATTTGAGTGTATTTGAGGCTGCAGCTACAGACCTGGATGAACTCACTGACACATCAGCTTTTATGAGGCCGTGTGTGTGTGTCCACCAAGACCTTCTGCACATTGAACAGCAAGAAGCCCTGGTTCACTGTAAGACTCAAGCAGCTTCACTGTGCCAAAGAGAAGGCCTACAGAAGTGGGGACAGGATCCTGTACAGGCAGGCCAGGAACACACTGATAAGGGAGATCAGAGTAGCAAGGAGGAGCTACTTCAAAAGCTGAAAAAACACTTTTCAGCCAACGACCCCTCATCTGTGTGGAGAAACTTGAAAAACATCACTGACTACAGGAAACTATCCCCCTCTGCTGTGTAAGACCATCAACTGACAGACAAACAGAAGCAGAACTCTACACCCTTCACCCACCTCACCTCAGACCCAGCAGCTGCTCCCCCCCAGCTCTCCACCCCTGAAGATCTGTGAAGAGGATGTGTGTGACCTTTTTAAAAAACTAAAGATCAGGAAGGCACCAGGTCCAGATAGTGTGAGCCCCTCCTGCCTAAAAACCTATGCTGATCTTCAACAGATCACTGGAGGTGTTTGAAGTTCCCTCCTGCTTCAAATGCTCTACCATCATCCTGGTTCCCAAGAAACCCCACATCAGTGGACTGAATGGTGCTAATCATTTTTATTGACCAAGTATGTTACACACACACACACACACACACAAGGATTTTCCCTCCACTACAGAAGTGAGGCAGCCATGTGCAGCACGAACTCACACACACACACATACACACCAATGGTGGTGCTGTCCTTGCAAGGCACTGCTCTGGCCATCAGGAGCAACTTGAGGTTCAGTGTCTTGCCCAAGGACACTTTGACTGGGAAGAATGGGAATCAAACAGCCAACCTTCCAGTTGAGGGATGACTGCTCTACCTAGCCATAGCTGCTCCATGAATAAAGATCTGTTGTCCTGACATCTGTAGTTATGAAGTACTGGTGTTGGCCCATCTGAAGGACATCGTAGACCACCTACTGGACCCCCTGCAGTTTGCCTAAATAAATCAGAACATATAAACTATGCTGATTTCTTGCTGATGAACCTACATATGTGATAATGTTTTAATGAGTTGGTAGAGTTCTTTATTTGCTGTAAAAATACATGGTTATCAGATTTTGTACAGTAATTTGTCAACTTTATGTAGTCTACATATTTTTGAGGATATTATGCTTGTTTTAACTTCCACTTTAGTCTTGTGATTTGAAAGGCACACAATACCCATTATTCAAAATAGTCAATACATTTAGAAGTCTTCACTAAGTATCTACTGAGGCATAATAACATTTTAACCTCCCAGCACTAATGTAACTCTTGAAATATTAGTCAGTAATTGCAATGATTTTAACTTTGTTTGGGTAACACAAACCCTGAGTATCCAGAAAAAAGAAAACCCTACACAATCATAAAGAACCTAGTTCAACAGCTTTGTAATAACTCCTACTCTGGTCAGTTTTGTCAGGACTGTGCCAGAAAGGTGTTGATGGTATCCTGTAATTTTGTAGCTTTAGTGGTAGTGTTGGACTAGACAGTCTGATACATGTACAGTAATTATTTACATTATGTTGTATGCTAGCATTTAAATTAATTTCTAGAAGAAAATGTAAACCCCTTTATACACAAAACAAGCAAAGTCTTAGTTCAAATACATACACTAGCTAGACCCAGGATAGCACTGTTAGCCATGTGTTCATGGGTGTGCTGCTAGTGTGTGGTAAGATGATCAGCTGTCACTTTTAAGCCTTTCGGGTCAAATATATTGGTTTTGCAAAAGATACCCAAGATTTACTCATTGAGCTTCTCCCTGCTGTTTCTCAGGTGAAGCTAAAGGATGAGGAGACCACATTTGCTCTGAAGTGCATTAAGAAGAAGCACATTGTGGACACCAGACAACAGGAGCACATCTACTCTGAAAAAAACATCCTTCAGCAAACAAACTCAGCTTTTATCATAAGGTGTAGGCCACACACAACATTACACATTTCAGTTTGTTATAAAAGCTGCAAGGGTTTATTGCGGAAGCAACAACCGTAAGAATTAGACTGGCTGTGGCTCGGGAGGTAGAGTAGGTTGTCTTCTAAGCAGAGGGTTGGTAGTTCAATTCCTGGCTTCTCCACTTCACATTCTGAAGTGTCCTTGAGCAAAGCACTGAACCCCAAATTTCTCCCCATGATATCACCTATTTGTGTGTGTGAATGGGAAATAGTGTAATGTGCTTTAGTGCATAGAAAGGTGCTATATAAGACCAATTAAAGTTTGTTATGATATTAGTTGGTTCCATAATCTGCGCTATAATGGAAGCAGGTAGATGTTGAAGAGAAGAGGCTAGAGAATGGGTATCTTAGCCAAGTGGTAAGTGTCCCATAAACATTTGTATTCCTCAAGGAAAAGATTAAATGTGCTTTGTTTAGTGTTTTGGTTGCTAAGGAATAAGCTGGGAGAATGCTACTGACCCAAGTCATTGCACTGAGATTTATCTGGGCTATGACTTTAAAGAACAAAGGCTGTGTGCAAACAGTTTGTTGGCTGTCATTCAAAGGGAAAAGTTCAGCCAAAAGGTGATGTTTACTTTCCCATCTATTTCACTAATACTACACTCCTCCTAATACCAAATAATAGTACAATAATAATATAAGACAATATATAACATTATACATCATATGATAATATATAATATAATAGTAGTACATAAATATAATAGTACTACAATTCATCCTTTCTTGCTTATCAGTTTTGATGCTTTTTAGGGTCTCAGTATTAAATAGAATATAAGAATGCAAATCCTTAGAAGCTTAGGGGTTTCAAAAAGTTTAAAGCTTAGAGAGTGAACTATTTTGATGTGTGCATGATATAAGACGGGTGGGTGCAAGTCCAAACCATACATATTTAGTCAGTTAAAAACTGTTTGTTCTCAAGGCTCTGTGTTCATTCAGTTTGAAATCAAATAATACCACATTAAAGTTAAAATTTTATTATCAGTTTGAATAGGTTTACATCAGTATAGAAAATAATTGCGTAGGAAATAAATTGTGTGTGGGAGCTCTTTTAATGCATAGTGGCCTAAATTTAAGGGCTCAAAATAAGAACAGATACACATAAGTCAAGTGACATTTATTATTTTATGGAAAATCCTTTGCAGTCAGTTTTTGACCATAGAGAGAGATCATTTTCTTTTTGTATTTTTTTATGAACCTGGCCTTTCTGGATTTACCAGGGGCAGTTTCCATCTTGTATAAGTTCTTTACTCATTATGGCAGACTGCTCAATCTAAATGGCCACTTTCAACTATCAATCATTATGCCATGTGAGCTCTGTTGTGCAAAATGCAGCTGCCTAAATGTCCAATTACTTTTGAACCCTTACAGCTTTGGCAATTTTTGTTAAAGGGCTATATCTCACACACAATTTTTTCATTATTGATATAATTCTACTCAAGTTAACATGCAGACTTGGTGCTTTAATAATGTAATATCTATTATTTCACTCAAAACCAAGTAACTGTCTACTGTCTAACTGTCCAGTACCTATGGTCTGGACTATATCTTCAGCACTGAATTAACAACACCAATACAATACCGACACAAGACATGAATGGAATTTCTATAAGACTTACACAAGCCATAATATAACACAACACATTACCAGGTACTATCATTATTTATATTTAAGTGTCCATATTTAAATTCAGTTTCTAGTTAAAGATTTATTTATGTTTTGTTATTGTCACTATATTAGTAGGTGATTTGTTTGTATTAAAACTCACCCACAGCTCAGCAGTTTACAAAGAGTCTATGCATGTTTTTAGGTTATTCCGAACATTTCGGGATGATAAGTTTGTCTACATGCTGCTGGAGGCATGTCTTGGTGGAGAGCTGTGGACTGTGCTGCGGGACATGTGAGTGTAGGTCCTTTTACAACAGTCATAATAACTACAAATAAAACATCCAGAAATTGATATTCAAAGAGTAATCTAATATCAAAATCCTCATATTTACTGGCTAGTAAACATGGGCTGTTACAGTTTAACTCTTTGCTACACAGACAACAAAGGAAAGCAGCAAATATTAATAGAATTTCCATGTCTTACTTCCATGTCTTACATGTAATTACTTATTATTATTTAATAATTATTTACAAATTACAAATTAAATGCTTACTTAATTACTTTTTCATCCACAACCAATATGTGGACATTAGGAGTTGGTCCCTCAAGATGGTAATTGTCCATTAAACCACTGCAGAAGAAGGGGAGGCAACAAGACGATGTAATTAGTAGGGCTTCAGTCAAAGCTCAAATGATATCAAACCACATGAAAAACATGACAGACGTATAACATTTCTGTTTGTTTCATGTATTGATTTTGAGGGCAAATGCATTTATATAATTTCTCACAAATCTGATGTTTTCCTCTCTTTAGTGGAGTGTGTCATGACAGCCATAGCTGCCTAGGTTCATTCTTACATTCACTTTCATTTACCTCTTGTTTTTGCATCCCATTAATATCTAGTGTCATTTCAAACCCTGTCTTTCCCAGTTGCCCTGTAGTTACCTCAGTGTTCTCACCATCTGCATCAAATGTCCATTTGCACACCCGCTTGTCTCTTTGCTTCCCTATTATAAATGCCAGCCCTGTGTTAGCAGTTGTTTGCCAGATTGTCTTTACACTGCTGTACTTATACGGGTTCAGCCTGCTTTAGGCTTTTGCCTAGTTGCCCTTATCCTTTGTCTTAACTTGGTTTTGCCTGCCTGTTACTAACCCTACCTAAAGAGAGCTTATTGTCTTTGACTTGCCTGTTTCTGGAGTCTTGCTTTTGAGTCCAAACCTTTGTGCCAGAACAATGTGATAGTCAGGTGTTCTGTTGACCATAATTTTTTTTCCCTGTGGCTTAGGGGTTAAGACGCCTAATATAAACTGTAAAAAACCCTGATTTGAATGCAGTTAGGGACCTAATTTCCCTAATCCTTTATCTAATATTGGTGTCTAATAAAAAAGCGTGTCAATAATCAGAATGATAAAATCTGGGTAAATTTGCAACCGATGCTCTTCTGATCAATGTTTATACAGCATACATTATGGCATTAATTTTCTGATCTTTTTGTAATCTACCAGGAGTTATTTTGATGAGCCTACAGCCAGGTTCTGTACTGGTTGTGTCTTAGAAGGATTTGATTACCTCCACACAATGGGTATTGTTTACAGAGACCTGAAACCTGAAAACCTGCTACTCGATGCTGAGGGTTATGTCAAAATGGTGAGCCACTTGTCTAAATATTTGTTGGAGTGATGTCCTTCAATATATTATTTAGTATGTATCTGCATTTTCAATAATAAACTCTTAACTCCTCTGTATTTCCTTAGGCAGACTTTGGGTTTGCTAAAAAGATTGGCCTTGGAAAGAAGACCTGGACATTCTGTGGGACACCAGAGTATGTTGCCCCAGAGGTCATCATGAACAAAGGTCATGACTTTGGAGCCGATTGCTGGTCTTTGGGAATCCTCATATTTGAACTTCTCACTGGCAAGTAAGTTAATAAAATAGAATCTCCTACTGCTATGATTTGCACTTGTTAGAGAAATAAAACTCAAAGCAAAGTAACTTGCTTTTCATATTCCTGAATGCCACAACCAAGAATTTCGCTTTGTTACTGTCTGAGCAGGTTTGATGACACCCAGAGGTGGCTGGAAGGTGTGAAGGTACATCTGAGTTTCATTAGCTTGTTGGTTTAAACTACAAAATTATGTCAGATTATCTGACCTAGAAAAGGAATGTAGATAGGGGTAACTGAGTCTAGGGGGTCACCTTGGGTGACAGGGGCATGGTTGAATTTAGGGTCCCTGATATAACTGTTTCCCATCAGTGCCAGTGTTTCAGCTGGTAACATTTCTCAGTGGAGGTCCACCATGCCAAAAAAAAATCACTGCAACCCACAGCCAAACCAAACCATAAGCAAACCCCCTGGTTGCCAGAGTGCCCCACGTGGACTTGAAATGTCTAGCAAGCACAGCCTGATGGCCCACTCACCACTGATGTTTTTTAATTGCTATGTGATCAACTGGCCAAAAGGTGTTTCTTTGAAGGAAGAAAAGTATTATGTTGCAACATAATGTAAAAAATGTCTTGTAATCCCATGAGGGATAGGCTATGAATTTGGGCTTTAATACATTTCATTCATTCATTTCAATAAAGTTCTCTCAGCTCATGGTTGAAATTCACAACATTTCAGTCAGTTAATCTGTGTGATGCTGTTTACTTACAGTGAATGTCACTTTTGGCTTTTTCCTGTTAGGGGTCGCCACACACTGACAATTTGCATGTTGACATTTGGCACGTATTTTACACTGGATGCCCTTCCTGATGAAATGCTGACTAGAACCTGAGCTGTAGCAGCGAGAGCGTTGTGTCCTAACCACTAGTCTGTCAGGGAATCCTTACAGTATTATATGATTAAACAATAATTGTATTTGTTTACCAGTGTACCCATCTACTGAACAATCCCTGACTCTTGAAATGCAACTTGTCACATCTTTAAAGGAATAGTTCAGTATTTTGGGAAATGTAGTTGTTTTCTTTCTTCCTGACAGGAACATGTTAAGATGGATCCAACAATCCTCAAACCAATACAAGCCATATGACCGTCTTCCCTTTCATATGACCCATAGGGGTGTATAATTAATTAGTACTCAGAAAGTCAGAGGAATTATACCATCCCTAACTTTAAAATCCAAGATGGCTGCACCATGCATGTTTGTGCATTAAAATCAGAGCTTCAGTCAGGATGTCAGAAAGAAAGCAAATAAGGAACTTCCAACATGGTGTAGAGGCAAGTAGCACCATAACTTAGTGGCTCAGATGGTCTTATTATGCCTTAAGTAAAACTTGGTTATTCAAAAAAAAAAGTGTGCTTTGTAGAATGAAAGGGAAAACAATAGAAGGACAAGAGGAAAAGTACAACAACACCTAAGGATAAGTAATAAACCATCAGCTGATATTGAGGACACCAACATTGAGCACTGGTTCGAAGATGATGGCGCGTACGTACGCAATGGCTTGGGGCTCTCGGCTTTTTGTTTTTCTATTCGTATCTTTGTTTGTCTTTTTGTTGTCACTACAGTTTTCTGAAGCCACCATCCAATATGGAAGAGCTGAACTACTTACAATAGGGAAACAATACGAACTTTACGCACCCACAAAACCAGACTTTATTCCACCAGAGTTACACCGGACCACTACAGCTCTCACCATCCCCCCTTTGTGGCCAAGGAGACAGAGACGACACTGTAAACAAAAGAGGGATAAGAGAAGCGGCCTGTGTGCTAGACTCCATGCTAACCCACACAGGCCGGCGCTCCCTAGTCTCTTCCTCACAAACGGCAAGTCACTAACCAAATGGACAAGATTCGGCTGCGGATTGTCTCACGGAGGCAGGACAGCTGTGTGGCGATTATAACTGAAACCTGGTAGGATGACAACACCCCAGATGTTGCGGTGAAGCTGGAGTGATGCTCCTTGTTTCGAGCAGACAGGACTGCAGCATCTGTTAAACAGAGAGGTGGAGGTCTGGCACTGTACATCCATAAATTCTGGTGCACAGCTACGACCATCATTGGAACACATTGCTCCCCCGACTTGGAATATTTGGCAGTGAAATGCAGACCTTTTAAAATGGTGAGAGAGATTTGCTCAATCCTGATTGTAGCCATCTATATACCACTGTGAGCTAATGCTAAATTAGCGCTGGAGGAGCTGTACCGCCTGATCATCAGGCAGATGAACGCAAACCCAGAAACAGCTGTGATTGTGGCTGGGGGAGTTTACCCATCTCTGTGGAGCTGATCCCAGCATATAAACCTCTGATCTGCAGGACAAAACCAATCACCAAAACAGTTAAGGTGTGGACGGAGGAGGCTTCTTCAGCATTACAGGGCTGTTTTGAGCATACTGATTGGGGGTGTTCAAAGAGGGCTCAGACTTGGAAGCTTATACATCAGGTGTTCTGGACTATGTGCAGTTCTGTACTGATGCTGTCCTACCTACACGGTCCATCAGGGTTTTTCCAAACCAGAAACCATGGTTGGACAGCATAGTGTCACGTCTGCTCAAAGCTCGGGATGCTGCCTTCACATCAGGTGACAGGCTGGCCTATAGCAGGGCCCGGAAAGAACTAAAGAAAGGCATCCGGCTGGCCAAACGAACGTACAAACAGCGTATCGAGGGGCACTTTATGAATAACAACACACAGAGTATGAGGCATCAAAACAATAAGACTACAGAGGCAATAACCAGCAAGTCAGCCATGATCCCACCCTCCCTGACACTCTGAATAGTTTCTTTGCACACTTCGATACACCTGGCAGCAGAGGAACTGTACAACTCCCTCAGTTCGAGGAATAGCACCAGCCTCTCGTCCTGCTACACCAGGTGAGCTCCACCCTGAGGAGGACCAACACCAACAAAGCTGCAGGACCAAACAGGATGTCAGGCCAGGTTCTGAAGCTATGTGCTGACCAGCTGGCAGGAGTTTTATTGGACATTTTTAACCTGTCCCTGCATCTTGCTTCAGTCCCTGTGGGCCTCAAGTCCTCCACCATTGTGCCTGTGTCTAAGAAATCAGCTGTCACCTGCCTCAATGATTACCACTCTGTTGCTCTGACACCAGTAATCATGAAGTGCTTTGAGAGGACCATTCTAAAGCACATCAAGGACGTCATCCCTGTTGGTCTGGACAGCCATCAGTTCGCCTACAGAGAGAACCGATCAACACCCCACAAACACAGTAGTGAAGTTTGCAGATGACACCACTGTAGTGGGTCTCATCTCAGACAATGATGAGACTCACTACAGAGAGGAGATCCAGCACCTGACAAGGTGGTGTTCAGATAACAATCTTGTCCTGAACACCAACAAGACTAAGGAAGTCATTGTGGCTTATAGGAGGTCCAGGAAGACAAAATATGCTCCTCTTCTCATACACAGGGAGGTGGTAGAGCAAGTGGATAACATCAGGTTCCTGGGCATCGACATCACATCTGACCTGACCTGGTCTCTGAACGCATCCTATCTGGTGAAGAAAGCCCAGGAAAGGCTTTTCTTCCACAGGAAGCTGAAACGCGCTGGTCTCTCCTCTCAGTTGCTCGCAAACTTCTACAGAGCGACAGTAGAGAGCATCCTCTGTCTGAGTGCAACGGTGTGGTACGGGAGCTGCACTTCACAGGACAGAAAGGACTTGACCTGGGTGGTGAAAACAGCTCAGGGGCATCATAGGGAGTCCTCTTCTGGATCTGGACTCACTATACACTGACCAGATTCGAAGGAGGGCCAGACGGACTGCTGCAGACCCCACCCACCCAGGCAACAGTCTGTTTGTGCCTCTTCCCTCCAGGGAAAGGTACAGGAGTATAAAGACTAAAACAAACAGACTGAGACACAGAATTTCGTTGTGCTATGCATAATGACAATAAAGATTCTTAACAAGTCTTCACACAAGCTAGAGGTTATTCAGGCTAATATCATTGCTGATAAAAGGTGGTCCTTTTGGAAGTGAAAACAGAATTAAGATAATGTATGGGATTACTACAGTGGTTGATTTTTGAGAAGAGGTCAACCAAAAACTAAATACTACTCTTACTGATCTAAATAAAAATAACAAGTTTGAGGGGACTGATCTTTGGCTGATGTAGATGATTGAAATGCTGAAGTTAGGGAAGTGTTTTCCGCATCCTGCAGTTTCAAGAAAATAGTCAAGAAGCCACAGCTACAAGTACCATGAATCTGAGACCGTTTTTCTGAGAAATATGGACAGAAATACAACTCTCTAATAATGGAGTATAAAGTGACGTGATAAGGAAACAAACTAGGAATGGACTGGGTGATGATCAACTAGCAGATAATAACAGATGACAGATGGATATGATGAGACAGGCTGAGCTACGGATGCTAGGGTCACTCCCGGTCTGGCCGGTGGGTGGTAGATGGGATCTGATGACTGTGTACTGACCTAGCTGGTGGAGGCTGGAAGGGTGGAGTGGAGTAATGGTCCGGAGGAGAATGGTCCGGAGGATGGTCGAGGAACGAGGCAGGGTAGACAGACTGAAAGAACAAAACCCAATGGTAACAAGACTAAGGGAAGGAGTGAGAGAATGGCGCTGGTTGTCGGCCTGAAAACATGATGAACTGGCAAGGGAGTAGAAAGTGAATTGGGCATAAATAAGGTGAATGACTGAGTGAAAACAGCTGGTGTCAATTAGGGAAACGAGTGGCAGGTGTGCAAGGTGACGTGATCAGGGACTGAAAAACAAAGAGAGGGAGGTGAGAGAGGCAGGTGCAGCCGAGCAAACCTGGACAGAATGAACAGCTGATGAAGGGTTTTAATATAGCTATTAAAGTATCAGCCACGATGATATGCACAGGGGACCGGAATATTCAAGGACACCACTCCTGAGACTCAAAAGGAACAAACAAGATAAAGCCCAAAACATTATACATTAATACATTGCTCAGACAAATTGTTATGATAGACATATG